AGGGAGGGAGGAAGGAAGGGAGGGAGGAAGGAAGAAGGGGGCTCCCTTCCATGCCCCTTCACGTCTCTTCCACGTGGCCTCGGGCAGAAAGCATAGAGAACAAGCTAGGGGGCAAATGGAGCCCGCAGCTTGTGGAGCCTCTCTCAGGGCTGTAAACACTGCGCTGAGGCGAGCATCCTCACATTCCCTTCTATGCAGCATCTGAAGTCCACACCTGTCGTGTCTACCACACAGAGGCTCTCCAGGCACTAGCTCTCAGAACTTCTCAGGCCACCATCACCCCAGGCATCTGTCAACCGTGCAGATTCCCCAGCCCCAGCAAGGGCCTGCTCATCCTAAACTGCAGCGGGCCTGTTTACTCCTTCACGGGGCTGGAGTGCATCGAGATCTGCTATAACCAGAAACAGAGAGCAAATGGATGTGGGCCTGCCTGGAGGAGATTTCAGGAAGAAACTAGAAACATGCCTGGCAGGGTGGGGAGATGGGAGGGTGATTCTGGAAAAAGGAAGAGACTAGAGAAGACTCTTCATGGTTTACATTTCATTAAAAACCTCCAGTTTGGAGAGAAACATGCGAATGGGAAGGTTGTTCCCTGGGTCATCTGCCCAAGGACAGACAAAGAAGTTAGGGCTGGTGCCGGCAGCCGAACTCCACATTTGGTCTGTTTTTAACATCTTTGCCTGGGGCTGGACTCTCAGGCTGGAGCAAAGACCCTGCTGAAGATGAATGAAGCTTAGCCTTCCTTTGGACTCTGGCTAACCCCCCTGGTTACTCTCTGCTTTAGCTAACTAAGCCTTGCCTAGACATTTGCAGGCCAGCAGGCTCTGTGGAACCAACTGAAGTGAGAAGAGAGGGCTGGAGTTAGAGACAATGTAACTCAACAGATTTCAGTGTGTTGAGATGTTATCAGGGATACCCAGGAGATGGTGAATCTGGGAGTTTGGGGTCCAGCTGTCCTGTGAGATAACAGGAGTCTACTACCCCGAGCCAGCATCTCAGGGCTGCTGTAGCTATCTGCCAAGAGGAAGGGCACAAAACCAGGGTGAGATTATCCCTCCAAGGCCCCTGGAAGTATCCAGGACAGAGTCTGTTTGTGGTTTCCATTCCAGAAGTAGCTTGGAAACCCCCAGTGTTGTCCTTCAAAGCAGTCACCAGATTGCCTGCTGAGCCATTTCAGCAATGCCCCGGTCACCTGACCACATTCTGAAGCCCCTCTTCAACTACTTCAAATAGAGTTTCCCACCATCCATGGACAGCAGCCTTTGTCACCCTGGTCAACAAGGATTCATTTTGTTGTCTGGACAGGCACAGCCACCGGGTTGACATGGTACATGATTCAAAAATTGAATCCATCTATGAAGGCCAAAACATTATGCTTACTATCAAAAATCAAAGCAATAAGATTCCAAGAAACACTATCAGAATGAATAGGTCTGTTAAGGCAAGTTCTTCGAAGTCCACAGTGGCAGTGGAAAAGGACCTAGATCAGTAAGCCATGGCTGAAGGACAGGCTTGGTCCATGTCAGACACACTGAAACTGAGTGAGGTTGCTTATCAGAACTTCCACTGTGAAACGTAGTTGGGAAGACCTGCCTTACCCAGGGACACTAATGATACCAACAGGTCAGATTAAAACAGAACAAAATAAAACAAAACATACAAAACCCTGAAATAAACAAAACAAACTAACAAACAAACAAAGCCCTTGAAAGTGCCCAGCAGTGATGGCTGTGACTTCATATCCTCCCACGCATTGGTTTTGATTACAAAAGTCATGACACAAGGAAGGTACAAGCACACATTTGCTGGATGGGAGGATGTCTCTGATTCACTTATTTCAGATCTCAAGTTACCCTTCTGGCAATGTGGAGCATAAGGAGGAGAACATGGTAAGAGGCCCATCCTGTCAGGAGGATGGAAAGGGCCTACAGAAACCTCTAAAGCCTATTCCTAGACTTCATTGTCACAGAAGAACTGGGATTCCAGTTTCATTTCTGCGATTATCCAGCTGCTCATAGGAGCAGCCAGCTAGGGGTGAGTAGTGTCCAGGAAACACTGGCACCAAGCACAAACAGGGCCTACCTCCATGGGACCTGCCTGGCCTCTCGGTTCTCTCCCTAGTCAGTACAGCCCTGCTCTGAACTGTTTCTCTGTTTTGGTTCATCCTACTATTGTATTTGAGAAACAGTTTAGTTCCTAAAAGGGGAGTTGAAAACATTGCACCAAGTAATGCTTAGCATCCCTCGAAGCAATGTGCGCAACACGTGATCTTTCTGCATCCCTTGCCCTCCATGCTCCTCCCACGGCCTCTGGCCCCGCCCCCACCCCATCTTTCCCCTGCAGCTGCGCACCTGGTGAAGCGGACCTCGCAGATGCTGCACATGTACGGCTTCTCCCCGGTGTGGGTCCTCATGTGCCGGGGCAGCTTCCCAGCCCCCATGATGACCTTGTGGCAGATGGGGCACTGCTGAGAGGCCTTGGGCTTCAGCTTGCGCTCCTCCACCAGCGGCCAGGGTGGGAAGAGGCTCCCCAGGTGGGTGGCACTCAGGAAATTGAGATAGGCACCATAGTCATTCTCTGCCTTGATGGGGCCCAGCGGCCCACCCGGCAGGTCTGGAAACATGTCCTTGAAGAAGTCGCTAGAGAAGGGAGGGGGTGGGGGTGGGGCCAGCTCCTCTTTCTCCTCCTCCTTGATTTTGCGGTTCTTGATGACTAGATCCAGTGGCCCACTGTCCATGGGCTGCTCAGGCAGCTGGGCAAAGGCACCAAAGTCACCTGGCCAGAGGTGTGGGAAGAATTCTGGGGCAAATGGAGATAAGGAGGGTCTTCTGTCAGGGATGTTAGCTTTGGGGTACAAGTTCTCCCTCAACAGAGATTCAATAGAGAAGTCCCGGATCACTCCCAGATGGCCAGGGCTGCCGGGCTGGAAGGAATTGGGGAAGTCCCTGGGTGTGTCTGAATAGTCCTTCTCTGTGAGACAGTCTGTCTTGGAGGGGCTTTGGGAGCAGTTGATGTCCTGGGGGTCAGGCAAGTTTTCCTGGTCAGCAAAGTCCTCTGTGTCATCCTCCTCCTCCTCCTCTTCCTCTTCTTCCTCCTCTTCATCATCTTCATCTTCATCATCTTCATCCTCCTCCTCCTCCTCCTCCTTGTCATCCTCCTCACCGACGTTGCCACCAGGCTCCATGATCTCCAGGCACACATTCACAATGCACTGGATCTCCAGCATCCGGGCGGCATTGAGGATGTGCTTGACATTGGAGGCGGTGATCGTGAGTGTGGAGGTGTAGGCAAACTCCAGGATGGCAGCCAGAGCTTCAGGCTGGACAAAGTCAATCTCATAGACGTAGGGCTGGCTGGCCAGGCTCCCAGCAGTGAAGAGCTTCTTGAAGTATTTGCTGCAGGCCGCCAGCACCGAGCGGTGTGTTCGGTACTCTTGCTCCTGAACCACCAGCAGCACGTCACACAGTAGGCCGGCATGCCGCTGCTCATTGAGGCTGCACAGCACCTCGCTGCTATGGTTAGGGAAAGGGATGCCGATAAGCTCATCAATGTCATTGGCCATGTTCTCAGCCAGAGCCCTGCAGGGACACACAGAAAGAGAGACCAGTTTATGAGCACAGTAGGTTGGGAACTTATCTCCTAGACCAAGCCTTACCTGTAAGTCACAACCTGGTTCAAGCTGAGGTTTTTCCCTGCGCCTTAAGACTCTTGGAGTTAGCATCTTACCAGGGAGTGAACATCAGCTGCTTAGGAAAAGCCACCTACACCTCTTGACTCGGAGAATTCCGCTTTGTTAATGTGGACTCGGGGGTGGCCTCCTGCTCTCATATGGGGACTCCTGGTGATTCTGCTAAGAGATGCTCACAAATCCCCAGGTGCTGAAGCCATCTCATGGTTTGTACAAGCTACCAGGAGGTCACAACTCAACTTTGTGGCCCATTTTCAGTGAGTGACCAGAGGCATGGGGGTATATGGTCTATCTCCTGACCTTGCTTCCAGCTTCACTGTGCCTGATAGAGTGTCTTTCATTTGCAGGTCAGCAATCTCTAACCTTTGAAATCCCTAGCATTGTACCTACACACACGTAAGCTGTTTCTCTCATAAGCAGACATTTAAAGTCGGTATAGATGCGAGTACTCTGCCGATCACTTTCTCAGGTCTGGCTGGTTAGTCTCACAGCTCTTTAAACCCCTGAAAGAGACGGAGTCTGAGGCTTCTTACAACCTGGACGGTCTCTGACTTACAGTGATTTGATACAGGACTTTTGACTTTGTGGTAGTGTAAAGGGTACTTACTCATTTGGTCATTCCTTTATCCTTGCAGTACAGCAAGTCAACAAACTGTAGGATGTTTGGTATTTTTATTATTAAGTTGGTTGATTTTGCTTAGCTGTAGGCTAATGCAGATGCTCTGAGCATTTCCAAGCCAGGCTTCGGTGGAAGGTCAGGCATAGTAAATACATCTTTAAAATCTTAAAAATTATTATTGTTATTATTATCATTATGATGATGTCGTTTGTGTACATAGGCCACATGGTTTATGTGGAGGTCAGAGGCTAACTATATTGTCTCTCCTTCTACCTTCATGTGGTTCCAGGGATCAAACTCAAGGCTAAAATGAAAAACAGTGACCACTCCAAAAGCAGATAAGGCTGGGGAGAAAATGAATTACTCACAGGTTTTGAGGGGAGGCAGAATGGTCTGCCCTCTCTGAAAAGCACCACAAGCATTTTTGAAAAGCTAGCTACTCAACGACCATCTGATCCAGCAGTGGCACATTCAAAAACTGAGAGTTAATTTGCACAATAGCTAATAGCCCTGAACTGGAACCCACAAGACTCTTCATTAGGTGGCTGGCTGAGCGTGCTATAGACTCTCAGTTTGTTGGGAGTCCTGCTCACCAATGAAAAGGAATACTCTGGTACCCTGATTCACTCAGCAGCTTGGATGGATCTCCAGGGAGTTGGAATGAGAGAACAGAGCCAGTCCCCAGACGCTTGCCTCAGATGCAGCACCTTGAAGCTGCCACTTCTTAGAGGCAAAGAATTCGAGAGGGTTGTGGGCAGCGAGCAGGGGAGTACTGGAGGGAAGGGAGGGGAGGAGAGGGTGTGGCTGTAGAAGAGCACAGGTGGGGGTGGGTGTTGTGCACTGGAAGTGTTCTGTGTCTCATGCATAGCAGTATCAGTATCTTGGATATAATACTGGGCTGTGGTTTGGAAAATGTAGCATGAAAGGGAGCCAGGTGGAGGGTCCAGGTGATTCCTCTGTGTTTTCTGTTACAAGTGTGTGTGTGAAACTATCTCAAATAAGAAAGTTTTAGTTTAAAAAAGCAAATGTAGCCTAGGAGAGTCTATGTGGCTTGTCCGGACTGGTTTTGTGTGTCAACTTGACACAAGCTGGAGTTATCACAGAGAAAGGAGCCTCTCTTGAGGAAATGCCTCCATGAGATCCAGCTGTAAGGCATTTTCTCAACTAGTGATCAAGGGGGGAGGGCCTAGCCCATTGTGAGCGGTGCCATCCCTGGCCTGATAGTCTTGGGTTCTACAACAAAGCAACCTGAGCAAGCCAGGGGAAGCAAGCCAGTAAGCAGCATTCCTCTGTGGCCTCTGCATCAGTTCCTGCCTCCAAGTTCCTGCCCAGTGTGAGTTCCTGTCCTGACTTCCTTTGATGATGAACAGCAGTGTGGAAGTGTAAGCTGAATAAACCTCTCCCTAAATTGCTTCCTGGTCATGATGTTTTGTGCAGGAATACAAACCCTGACTAAGACAGTGGCTGAATGCCAGGTGTGTCTTTCAAGGCCATCTGGCTAAGGGAGAGTGCATTTGTGGGTGGTTGAATGGAGTCTGGGTCAGAATGGAGACCTCAAGTCCCTGAGCTGTGTGTAATTTTGACCGTGTGGAGGTAGGTTCAGTGTGACTTCTGTGCATGAACAGGAGAACTGAGGACATCTGTTCCAGGGCCCCAGCTCCATCCTCAGATGTTCAGGATCACAAGGAGACTGGGGGACAAGGCAAGACCACCGGGCCAGAGCTTAACAACCAGTTTCTCAGATGAGGACTCAGGTCCACCATCTTTGCTTAGACCCTGGCTCTCCTCTGATTGTCACTGTAACTTATGTGTCACTGGTAAGATGCACTGAGCATGTGGGGTAATCACACCAATGGGAGGGAGAGGTGCTGAGACCTGCACCTGTGGCTTGGCTCCCTGGGTCTGCTTGACCACATGCTCCTGCCTCATATAGTAAGGGTAACCAAGCATGGCCAGGACCTTCCCTGTCACATTCAGAGTCTCAGGGATACTTGAAGGGGAGGAAACTCGCCAGGGAGGCCAAGGTGAGTAGTCCTGCAGTCTAGGGAGGCTAGGCAGGCTGGAGCAGGTTCAGGAGCAGTGGACCACCTGAACCTTTCTCACAGTCTAGGAAAGGGGCTTCTCACTCATTTCTGGGAAGAACTCTGCTTGCTCTCTAGGCAGCTTCCTGCCTCTTCTTAGTAGCCCCTTACAGGTAGTTTTTAGCAACGTTCTACCAGTGAAAGAGAACAGAGGGAAGGCATAGGATATGGGACTTCATCAAGATTTCCAAGCCTTTTTTTTTTTAAATTGAGTCCCCTGATGTCCACACTGGCCTTGAATTCTCCAGCCTCCACCTCCCAAGTTCTGGTATTACAAGTGTGTTCTACTATGCCCAGTTTTATGGGGTACTGGGGAGTTGCATGCATGCTAGGCAAACTACCAATTAAAGCCACAACCTCAGCCTTGCTCACCTTCTGAACACAGCTGTGGGGTTGCACACACTTAGACGGGCATGTTGCCACAACAGTCCCCTTCACTGTGCTCCAAAGAGCTCCCTGCAGTTCCACTCTCCAAGCCCATCTTTGCTTTCATACCTCAAGCATTGTTCCTGGCAGAACACTGGACATCATAAATGTCCCAGGTGGATCTCATGTAATCCAATGTCCTGACCACATGACCCTATCTCCACCCCCTCAAATCAGGCACTGGGTCCATCTCTCGTCTTTGATCTTCAGCACCTTACTGACACTGTCCTTTAGTTTAGCTGCCTCTTTACTGTCATGTGTGAAAATCTGCCTGGGCATCCCTGCTAGATCCTAAACTGAAACAGGACACATGGAGCCATTAAAAGCTCAGCGCATAGCTGGCACATATTTGGTAAGACTCTGGTTAGGGCTGTCCTTATTCATGTTGAAATTACTCCTGTGTAGGTTTTTCACTGTAATGCAGTGTTCCAAGGGGATCTGGGAAGGTTTGGGCTGACAACTGAACTCTGAAGGTCATGAAAGACACTGTTGTTTCAGCCTTGCTTTCTTGGGTCAGAAGGAGGCCATGTTTGGAGAATGCTCAAGCAGCACTGTGAAAAGGGTCATATGGCAAGGGACTGAGGCTTCCTGACAAAAACCATGCCACTTGACAGCTGTGCAAGTAACCCAACTTGAGTAGTCCTTCCAGTCCCCCATCATACCTTCTATCATGGCAGCCCAGGTGACATTTTGACTGCACACAGCCACCCAAGAGACAGAACCAGAGCCACTACTGAAGCTCTGATCCATAGAAGATACAAAACAATAAGTGCTCACTCTCACCTTAGCCCCTCTGTTTCAGAGTTTGTTACATGAAGCAGACCACTGATAGAGGACCACTGTTTGCCTTTTAGATGTTATAGGTCTGCTATTTTTATTCTGACATTTTCTGGTAGATGGCAATTCTATGTGTTAGTATCAAGAAGTCCACACGAGAGTGAATTTATTGGGGAGCTGACAATTTGTTCTAATTCTCACAAAGCCATCCTGAGAGTAACTGGGTCCTGAGTCTCGGGGATGAACAGCTTTGCCCTCTAAGTGAAAGCCAAGGTTGGTGGAATGCTGGAGTGAGTGTTCACAAAAAGCCACAGTTTTGTTTACTAAAGGCTCACGCTATTAAACTTAGCAGTGGTTGGAAATGCTTCTCAGGTTCCAGGGTATTCCAGAACACAGTTAGTCTAGAAAATACTTTATACTGTCTAGGTTCAGGCATTGATTATTGTTCAATTTTTACTTTTGTTTTGGGGCAGTGTTAAGAATTAAACCAGGATCTGGGACATGCTGGGCAAGTACTCTACCACTGAGCTACATTTCTGGTCCTATAAAATGTTCTATATTCATAGTAATATTATATATAATCAATAGGCAAATATATGATAAAATACATATAAACATCACCCACAATAACTGGAGGTTTATCACTTTTCCACACAGTCTTATTAAATTTTGCCTTATCTAGTTGAAGACTATTGTTTGGTCACACAAATTCGTCTGTTCTCAGGGAGAACTCCCTCCTCTGACTTCTTAGAGGAGTCAGAACCTCTCCCTCCACTTCTCATTGTGTCATTGGATGACCAAGAGAGATCTGGTAACAGGCATGAGCATGAAAAGCTTGGGGAGGGATAACAGGATGGTGACCTTGACATCTCTTGTTCCACTGGCTACTTCTTACTGTGTTTTGGTTCATGGTCTTGTTCCATTCCTGGAGGAAGGGATGGACTCATGGGAGCTCAGGAGTATTTCTCTAGACAGAAGACTAACCTC